TAAGTGCCTGCAAGACAAACACAAAAATACACCATCCTTCACACACACACGTAACAGAATTCTCAACCACAACTTGCAGTCGCCACAGCAAATAACTCATCAGCCCTTCTGGCATCACAATCCTGCGCTGGCATATTTGGAAGCCAGTCTGAAGAAACTGTGTACGGGACTAGATCATGCCTAAATAAGCCACCCAGGGAGCTCTCTGGGCTGTTAGGGTGGTATATAAATGCAAATAATAAATAAACAAACAAACAAAGTGAGCAAGCAAGACAGGCCATTTAAATATGATAAAATGGTGCAGGCAGAACCTCTCGGTGCAAAGAAGACCTGCCACATTGGAGGTTTAATTCTTGAGTTCAGAAGAGTGAAAAGCAGCAAATGCACTTCAGTTAAAATGTTTTGTCCACTAAAAACCGTGGGCTTTCCTCCTTTCCCCATCAGGAGGATTAAACAGGGAGGAATTTTTACTAGCTGCTGCAGACTCTGGAACTTCTCTGTGAGAGAAGACCTGTCTTGCCTTCCCTTTAATGGCTTTCCACCAGATTGTTCAAACCTGCTTTTAAAAAAGCTTTGTGTCTAAGCTCACATCCGGTTGCATTCTAATGGCAGTTTGTACTTTTTATCACAGTATTCTGCTGTTTAGTGTTTATTTTTCTGCTTTTACGATCGTTGTTTTACCATAGGTGCAATTGTTGTCATTAGCTGCTTTCAGTTTTCATAGGAAAAGCACAGCATAAATGTTTTGAATAAATAAGTAAAAGAATGTCTCATTGAAGAACTCAACCAGGACTTTTCTACTTTCTAGAAATTCTACTTTCCCAATTTTTAACTGCCAGATCAGAACTAAGGTGAAAAGACTTCTCTTCTCTCAGGTTATGTTTTCTGATACCATGAAGGAGGATACTTGTAAAAATTGAAGCAAGTGCACTTTCTACTGCAAAAATATGAATTCTTTCGCCTAAGTACTAAAAAGAAACAGACACCTGAGTATTTTCACCTGTGAAAGACGGAATGCCCCAAGTGTGAAAACTCTTAAAAGCACCTTTGAAGCTTTTTGTCATTGGCTGAAGGAAAAAAGAATTTTTACCTTTTCTGTTTTTAAAGGATAATTTGAAAGAACTGTGTTGCGATACCTGCATGTCCAGTTGTCATTTTTATACTCGGTGAATTTGTGAACTCCATCTGAAAAGATTGTATTGGCGGCAGCTCCTTTCCAGGATACTAAAGAAAGAGAATCCCAGGAAAGGTCAAGAGGTGCTTCACTGAGAAGCTTGGAGACAACCCAAGGGAAAACCTCTGGAGTTCAGCAGGTTTTCTAGTGCTGAGCTGCAAAGGGGCCATAAATCAGGACTTCACAGGACGAGAATGATGCCTGGAAAACGGCAATTGCCCGCGGAGGAACTTCCAGCCCTGCCCTGGCCTGGCACCACTTTGCAGCTCGGGTTGCGGAAAAGCCCCCTGCCACACGACGCCCCGCAGCGGGGCCGGGGAGTGCCAGGGTTTCAGAGGCTCCGGCGGTCCTAAACGGTGGGGGACAGCCCCGAAGAAGGACGGTCTCGCTCCCCCCTTTCAGCCGGTTGCGGGAAGTCTGCGTCCCACCCCCGAGCGAGGCGCAGGCAGGAGCCGCGGCCCGTGTCCCCGCCAGGCCTCCCCCGCCCTCCTCTGCGCGCCCTGGGCAGTTCGCCGTCCCAGGACGGGGCCCCGGGCTGGGGAGCCCCGGGAGCGACACCGCGGCTGCGGGGAAGGCCCGGAGGGAGGGGTGCCCTGCAGGGCGCGCCCACCTTACCCCGGCCCCGTGCGAGGGAGCGCCTCCCGGGGGAGCTGCGCGGACGGTCTTTGCGCGCCGCGGGCGCAAGGAGCGGGCGGGGGGCTCGGGCGGCGTCTGCGCGCCCGGCCCTCGCGGCGCGCAGCCGGGGCGCCCTGCCTGGAAGGCTCCGCGCGCGCGGCCCCGGCCCCCGGG